GCGTGGTGTTGGCCACCCACCCTCTTTGTGTGCCGTGCCGGCCTTCATAGGGTGCTCCTCGCGAACAGCACTTGCCCCTACAGTCTGTCAAGACTACACGGGAGATCTTTGTCTTTGTGTACACAATGAGATGTCCCTACCTAGCGGGTATATTAAAGGCGTTTACGCGGACATCGGGATACAGCAGTGGCGCTCCGAACCCGGCCACCCGAGTTCAACTCTCGACCGCGGCTGTCATCAGTGGCGCGTGCTATTTGCACGCAGCCCGACCGCAAGGCACCCTCCCCAGTCGTACATCACCAATGCGCGTTGCTCAGTGACCAGATTTGGTGAAGTATGGTCAGCAAAACAAACTCCCAGCATGACCGCCACGACACGGCTCTGTTATATAATATACACAAAGACCTTCATCCAGCAGTGGATTGACCAAGGCCCTGTTGTACAAGATACGGACCCAATGATTGGTTAATATTTGAACAGGCGCGCACACAATCATGGTTATTGGCGGTAATATTTTAACTTTGAGGTTAATGATTAACAACAGAACCGCATATAGTTTGCACACAGACAAAGATTCTCCGTTTAGCCTTAACAGACTTTTGGGTCAAGTGCTGTCAGCGAGCACCTTTGAAGGCCGGCACGGCACATTATGGGGTGGGTGGAAACCGCCACGCCCGGCCGCCTTTGTCTCCCCGGTTCCGATGCTGCTTCCCCTGCATGTGCTCAGCAGTATCTAAAATAGTATCAACAATCGTGCAATAACAACCCTGTAGTTTGACGTGCATCCAGCCCTGATGTCAATCCGCTCGCCTCTTATTAACCTTGGCCCGGTGGCTCTGCTGATGAGCCCAAGCAAAGGGTGAAGCCGGTGGGGAGATGTCTCGTATTTGCAAACGAAATGATGCTGCTGCTCCTGTCGTCCTTTCTACTGCTGCTGCTGATGATGATGATGATTCTCGCAGCCGATGGAATAATGTAATCGCCGTCCCTAATGCGAGTTTGACTCCCGTGTGTGGGGGGACAAATGAGTACGCGGAGGCATCTCACCACGCACACGAGGGAGACACGACTCACGTCGAATGCAAAAAAAACTAAAATTAAAAAAATAATAATTAGTAAACAAACGTTAACCCCCCAAAAAATCCCCCACGACTTCCACTCGCGTGAATGTCTGTAGGCATGCTTATGCATCATGCTATGGACGCATATTATTGTTACTGTATCATAGTTGTCTTGCAGGGGTGAGATTGGTGTACATGCGTGCTATGTGTTTGCTTATTCTACGAATATATGGCAGCAATCAGCCATCGTCAATCTACTGCTGGACGAGTGTACGAGGATTTATGTGCGGTCAAATGCGTTGTCTGCATCGTGCCCGTTGTCTTTTTGAGTCACCAATCGAACGCGCGCTTCGCTCTCTCTCCACTGGTCCCTATGATCACTGTTACGTTGCATTTATGGCTTTTATTTTGGTGATTTCGAAAACGTTTTTTTGGTTTGGCCATGTTTTTGTTTATTGTAGTACGGAGTTAGACTGATGGCCTTAATATTAGTTGTATTGTGGTTGTTGTTGTTGTTTGACTTGCATCCCACTGGGATTTTTGCACACAGCGTTGGTGTACGGTGCTTAATTCAGGAATATTTTGATGTTTTTTTCATGGATTTTCTGTTTGCACAGTCACATAGTCACTTTAAGATGTTTTCTTGTTCATGTTTTTTGTTTGTTGCGGTTGCACCCGATTCAAGAGCCGAATGGCTCACAGGGCTGTACCAAATAACTAGAACTATGAACTATAACGTCACACTCCACGGCGAGGAGGCGAATTACTCGGTCCACCACTACTACAACTACTGACGATGCTGCTGCTGATGATGCTGCTGCTGACGGGTCTCGTATCCCGCGTGAGTGTTGAGACTCGGAGCAGCGCTGGGGAGCTCCAGGCTGAGTGAGGCTGCCCCCCCCCCCCCCGTCCGTGAGTGAAACCAAATCGGCGACCTCCGCGTGCCTCCGCTTTAGCGACCCCCAACATTCTAAAGAGCTCCGTTGTTGATGGTGTTGTTGTTGATGTTGTTGTTGTCGTTGTTGTTGTTGTCAGATCGTTATATAGGATTACAAAGCACAGACTCGGGGCGATAATCGTGCCGAATGTCCAGCTCTCTCTGGCCCTTCTAGGACATCGCTAGAGTCCTGCACCATTCGCTCAGTTACTTATCGCGTCTCTGTGATGACAGCACTACCGTTAGAGGAACAAAATACAGTTAACAGGGAATTATAGTCAACGTTTCGGGCAACGCTCCTTCTTGATCGCTGTATATATATCGAGTGTATCCATAACGGTACAATTAATACAGGCACACGAGTGCCGGTCCTGGTCCTCCTCACAGTCGACTCACCACCGGGGAGACAAAGGTGGCCGGGCGTGGTGCTGGCCACCCACCCCCATCGCGTGCCGTGCCGGCCTTCATAGGTGCTCGCCAACAGCACTTGCCCCGACAGCCTCTGAAGGTTATACGGGGGATCTTTGTCATTGCGCACGTAAGGGGGAGCGGTGGTGTAGCGATTAGCGCGCTGCGCTGTGGTCGCAGCGAAACGAATTCGATTCCCGATCACGGTCAATATCAGTGGCGATTATCTGAACCTATTCTGGGCCCCCCCCCCACCCCTAGGTGGACTCAGCCTTAAATGTTGCGCGGTGTGCAAAGTCGTCCGGGGCGTGGTGCTGGCCACCCACTCCATCGCTCGCCGTGCCGGCAACCCTTCGTAGCTGCTGTGCAGTCTCGTCGAGACCACACGGCGAGACTGTCGTCTTTGTTTGCTGCAAGGAACCACCAACGCGCTCCGTAGTCCCCTTGCTCTCGGCTTTCATAGTCACACTCCACCGCGGGACCCGTGGGCGAATTGCTTGGTTCACCGCTACAACTGCTGACGATGCTGCTGATGATGATGCTGATGATGATGCTGCTGGCGGGTCTCGTATCCCGCGTGAGTGTTGAGACTCGGAGCAGCGCTGGGGGGCTCCAGGCTGAGTGAGGCTGCCCCCCCCCCCCGCCCCGTCCGTGAGTGAAACCAAATCGGCGACCTCCGCGTGCCTCCGCTTTAGCGACCCCCAACATTCTAAACACCTCCGTTGTTGTTGTCGTTGTTGTTGGTGTTGTCAGATTATTTCTACAGGATTACGATGCACAGACATCGGTAGAAGTGACACAACGCTCGCTCTCGAATGGACATCGCATTTAAGTTAGATGTATTCTATAGGGGTAATTTGTGTATATATGCACACGGATAATTTGTATATTGACATATATATGCAAGACATGTATATATATAGTTACGAGTTGTCTTACCACAAGACAACCCATGTACATATATAAATACACGCATATAAAAATCCCATACGTACTATTTACGGTACAAACACGCTATATTTTTTTGTATATAATAGTGCGAATTTTATATATAAGATGATGCAGACCAGAACACAATTAGTTCTGTTCAAAGATACATTAGTACGTCACACTTTCACATACACCTACTTACCATTGACCAGCGTGGTGAAGTATGGTCAAATACCCCCCCCACCACCACCACCCCCTTCTACCCCCGCTATCCAGCAGTGGATTGCAAATACGACTCTGTGTGCACGCCATACATACAAAGCCAAAGCCCCCCCCCCCCCCCGTATAGCCTCAACAGACTGTTGGGGCAAGTGCTGTTAGCGAGCAGCACCTACGGAAGCCGGAACGGGCGTGGGTTGCTGGCCAGCACCACGCCCGGCCGCCTTTGTCTCCCCAACACACCCCACCAGGTAATTATTTGAGGCTGAGTCGATACACACACACATGCACACTACACTTGCAATTATTGCGATATATACAGTAGTACATTACACAGTGCAATGATTTACGATTGTCAATTACGGCGATTATTGCAGTAATCCAGAACTATAACTTTAAGTACATTTTTATTGCATTTATTTTGCAGATAAGGATAATATATCATATTTAGAGGTATTTTTGTAACGTAATATGTGAGAATGCAATGCTCATGTGTAATATCTTCACATATGCGTGATATATATTTAATAATTCGCAGATGTTTTGTAAGCGGCTGTATTTAACAATTATATACATTAATTATGTACATTGCTCACACATATATACACACTAAACACATACATATACACATTAAAACACGTACATATATACACAACCACAAAACAACATATATACACACTAAACCCATACAAAGACACAGATCCCCCGTATATCCTTAACAGTCTGTGTGCCGGCAAAGGAGGGGGTGGGTGACCAGAACCACGCCACGCCGCCTTTGTCTCCCCAGTGGCGATGTTTACACACCGTACCAGGTGCCCATTGGAGGCCGAGTCGACCTAGGCGAGGCCCAAAACCGGTTCAGATAATCGTCACCGGATATTGGTAGCCGTGAGCGGGAGTCGAACTCGGGTCGCCAGGTTCGAAGCGCAGCGCGCTAACCGCTACACCACCGCTCCCCACACTCACATACAATCTCCCTGTAACACACAAACACACACACACGCAGTACATCTAGTAGACACGTTCACCTATTCCCATTGTTGTCACCCGCAGTCGCAGCCTTCATTAATAACGGGTGTCGCGACGCGGTCTAGGACCAGACGACACCCAGACGGACAAAAAAATCAGCAACTCCCACTACTCACACACACAACAACAACAGCACTAACAACAACATTCACAACAATACTCACAACAACAATGCTCACGACGATACTCACAATAATCACGTCTACAATCCTCACAACAATACTCACAACAACAACAACACTCACATCAATAACTCACAACAACATTCACAGCAATGCTCACAACACAAATACTCACAGCAACATTCACGACAACACTCACAACGGCAACACTCACCACAGGAACATTCGCAAACAGCGATACTCCCTCCGCAACACTCGCACCGACACGCGCACATCACGGCGACGTTCGCTTACCTCGGGACCACCCTCAACAAATCGCTTCGAGGAGTGCTGAGCCGTCGCCGGGGGCCAGCTGAGCGGCTGCGCTCTAGGCGAGTCGTCAGGCGATGGTGGTGGTGGGTAGGTAGGGTAGCGAGTCGGGTGGGTGGGTGAGTAGTTTTGGTGAGCAAGAGATGGAACCGGCGACGGGAGCGAGCAGGCTGCGGGCGAGTACATCAGTTGTCGGCACCGCCAAGGGGGGCTGCTGTTGCCCGCTGTTGTCCCGCTGCTGTTGCTGTTGATGGCGATGCTGTACGGTAGAGAAACCAGGCGAGTGGGCTGGTTGGTGAGCGAGCGAGCGAGCGAGGCGGTGGAGCGGGTGAGTTGAGGAGGTGAGCTAAGCACGGTCGATAGTGGCTGCTCGAGAAGGGGGGGGGGGGTCGGTTGTAAATTGAAGTTTCGACTTTTTTTTGCGCTATCAGCAGCGACGGTCCAGCGGTAGCACGGGCAGAGGAGAAGGTGGTGGTTGCCCCCCGCAACAAAGACAAAGACCTCCCCCCCCACCTCACTCGTGTAGCCTCGACAGACTGTTGGGGCAAGTGCTGTTAGCGACGCGCGTGCGTTGGGGTTGTTGATGTTGTCGTGTTGATGTTGGGAAAAATCAACGATCGGGAATTTAATGACGGCGTAAAATCGGATGAGATCTTCGGTCCAATACCACGAGCAATATAATTGCGCGTACAGATTATAATCACGAGAGAGAGACTCTAGTTTTCTTTATAGAACGTGTTGATGAAGAATAATAATAGTATCCTCGTTATGTTGTTAACTGTCAAATTGGTCGTCTGCTTTAAATATTTTTTACCAAAACAAATATTTTTATTCCCAGCTTTGGGTATGGTCACGAACCGTCGAGTTTGCAGTCTCCTCTCAGAAAATAAATATTCTTCCAGCTGTTGCAATTTTTAGTGTCAACAATTTTTACCATTTGGTATCAATAATACTCATTTCTTTACAACGTATCAACCTTCTCTCTTTGATTGTAGTTGCCTGTTAACAACCCCTATATTGCAGCAGCATTGCAATTGTTAATTAAAATTAATGATGATAATATAAGGTGATTGTTTGCTTTACAAACTAGAGTTCTGGTCAGCCGTCGCTCTCAATCTGTCCGACGCATGTAATTTACGCATTCCTCAAAATCATTTCTTAGTGTCAATCTGCAGCTGCACCTTCTTCAGCATCATCATCGTCATCGTAAGCATCAACATCACGAGAGCCAGTTGCGTTGTATCGGATTGTACTCTTGCTGTTGTTGGTTGCTTGTTGTATGTTGTTGACACCCTTACGATGTTATCTCGCTCGTAAAATCATCCCCACCGCGCGTCTCTCTGTGTCTCTCTCTGTCTGTCTCTCTCTCTCTGTTTGTCTCGCTCGTATCTTCTCTTGCCAGATGTGCAAAACAGCGGCCTGAGATTTACTCACGGCCGTCGCATCGAATGGTACAAAAATAAAAAAAATCCACACTTAAAAGAAACGTCTAAAACGTTTGCTTCCGATCTTCTACGCTGAATTCTGTTGCAAGTTGCGAATAGAAAATCGCGCGATGTCGTAGCCTTAACGCGGTCGCAGTCGCACACATAACAGACGTTTGAGTCGAATTGTTATCACTGTACTTTCAATCTCGAGTCGAGCTTCTTGGTGAGAGTTGAAGAAAATAAAGAATGATTTATTCTCTCGCCCCTCTCTCTCGCTCTCTCCAGCCTCTCGCCGCCGAATGTGAAAAATATTTCAAACGCAGCGCAGAAATCTGCAGGCAACAAATACGCGCTTGACAATCTTTTTCGATTCAAAACGTTCCGACCGTCGCCACCAGCTGGGCTATGAAGCTGCATTGAACACTGAAACCACCGCTGCCACCACCACCACCATCAGCATCATCATCATCAGCAGCAGCAGCGGCGGCAGCAGCAGCTGTAGCAGCAGCAAACAGTGTAACGCGCACACGCTCAAGACGCACGCAAGGCGGACACCACCACCCACCCACCCTCCTCCACACGGCCGCTCTCCGTTCGCTATTCACAACCCCCCACCACCACCAAGCCCAACAACCACCAACCCCAGCACCTCCACTATCGCCACCACCACTACCACCGCTCTAACCCTCTCCCTAATAATTCATGCATCTAGCATCCATACCTCCCCTAACCCGGACCCTCCCCCCCTCCACCACAACCACCACCACCACCACCCGTATCCAACCTCCTTCCTCACCCTCCCTCCTCCTCTCTCTCTCTCCGCCCAGGCACCCCCCCCCTTAACCCCCCCACCGCTCCCCCCACCAACAACCGCTCAGATGCAACATCCTCACCCCCCCCCACCTAACCGCGCTGCGATCTACGCATCGCTTCGTCGGTGTAAGTCCGCGGGCTAAACAGCTCGCTCGAGACCCGCCTGGCCGTCTTCTGTTCTGCTCAGCGGTGTCCCCCGAAGCTCAGCCGCGTTCCGAGGCACGCGCAGCCGGGGACGATGGGACGGAGGGGCAGCTCCTTGCGCAGGTGCCAGGTGCATCCTCGTGTGTGCTGGGGTTTAATTCTTTAATAAAATAAATAAATATTCTAATTATATATTTTTTAAATAAAAAATATATATATCGTTGTTATTATTATTATTTGTGTCGCTTGGCAGGACGGTGGGATATGGCTGTAGCTTGGAGCCCCTCGGAGACTTCGTCTAGCAGTGGAGTGACCATTGCTGTGTTTGTATATTTGCTCATCATGATCGCGACATATCTGTATATGACGGATTTGGGGGGGGGGAGAGGGAAGCTTTCATCCAGCAGTGGATTGACCACGTCTTGTGCGTATGATGATAACGACATACACATATCAAGTGCGAATATACACGTGTGTAGTTATATATCTATGTGTGTGTGTGTACGGGGGAGCGGTAGCGCGAGTGGTTAGCGCACTACGCTATACGAACCCAGAAGCTCATACGAGAGCAGTTCGCTTCCTGACGACGGCTATCATCAGTGGCGAGCGGTGTCGGAACCCGTTCTTTCATTCCCGCAGAGTTCGCCTGAGCCTTAAGCGAGTGTACCCTGGTGCGGGTTTAGTAAGTAAAAAAAAAATCATCCGCAGTTGGGAAGACAAAGGCGGACGGGTGTGGGGCTTAACCGACTGGTCGTGTGTCGTGTCGGCTTCCATCGGTGCCTCTCTAACAGCCCCCGTGTCCCAACAGCGTCACGCGTAGGCCACACGGGGGATCTTTGTCTGCATCCTCGTCTGCATGTGTGATGGAGATTCGTTTTTCACGTGTATTTTTATATTCATATATATTGATAGAGGGAGAGAGAGATCTACGGGTCTTAAAGGTAATATCAACAGACTGTGAATCCATCTAAATACAACGAGTAGTATTGCATTTATTTAAGCTCTCTCTCTCTCGCAGCACTCTGTCGAATCACCGCTGGATAATGATGATGATCATGATGATGCTCATCTTGATGATGAACTTGATGATGATGGCCTCCTACACACCTCCTCATCGTCCGCGTTCGCCGTCGTGAGTACGCATACTTCACCCTCATGGGTTTGATGAACGGGTGGATGGATATGCACACACACACCTATGTAAGTACGTATTCATTCGTACATATATGCAAGGGATGTCCCATGACAAATATGTACGTAATAATCCAAGTGTAATTTTTCTATTATGTATCTATATATTTAACATTAATATACAGCCCTGGAATTGTACGTACATGTATGTTGAACTTCTTTCGCACCGTACGTAGCCAATCGTGCTGAAGATTCATGCATGCATCGTCATATTATTGTCAACATATTATTATTATTATTATTTGATTTTCTAGCACCAAGGTGTTGTTAGGACTAACAACTCCTTGGAAAGGAGGTACTTGATTGCAATTAAGTTAACGTTTACGTGTGCACTCATTCGTTCATTCATTCAGTGATTCATTCCCTTCAATGTATGTGTATGTATGTGTATGTGGGGAGCGGTGGTGGAGCGGTCAGCGCGCTGCGCTACGAACCCGGCGACCCCGAGTTCGATTCCCGCTCACGACCAACACCCAGTGACGATTATCTGCACCGGTCCTGGGCCTCCCCTTGGTCGACTCAGCCTCAATTGAGTACCGAGTGCGATGTGTATAAACATTGCCACTCGGGAGACAAAGGCGGCCGGGCGTGATGCTAGCCACCCACCCCCTCGTGTGCCGTTACGGCCTTCATAGCTGCTCGCTAACAGCACTTGCCCCAACATTCCGTTCAAGGCTATGCGGGGGATCTTTGTCTTTGTACGCGTGCCTACAAGACGATTTTCCTTCCAACTCTACGTTCATTCCGTCGGTGGAGAGATGATCGCCTCGTGCTGTACAGGTGCTATAGGCGCAGCTCGCCCCATCGCAGCATCTCATGGGAACGTGCCGCCACGGTTTGATGGGGGTGGGGGGGGAGGGGTCTAGAGAGGGGGAGGGGCATTCATTCAGCAGTGGATTGAACATGGCCGATGATTGACTATAATCGACTAATGTATTCACTGCATGATTATTGATTCGGCAAAATTTCAGGAATGATGTGAACATTTGCCGGGCATAGGCCCGTAGCCCCCCCCCCCCCCCCAAAAAAAAAAAAAACGCCAAGCGGCCAGTGACGAGCAGCACTGTCAGCGTCGCCAGAGATCGGGGTCGAACGCGTCTTCTGGAATCGAGCAAGGTGATTATTAAACGAGTTTGGGGAAGAGAGACGACGATGGCGATGGTGATTATGATGGTGGTGGGAGAGGGAATTCCAACGTGGAGCTGCGCGAGGGGAAGGAGCGGACAGAGGAGTGAGGTGACCTGCAGTGTGGTGCGTGGGTGGTGAGTGAGTGAGTGAACATGTGTGTGGGTGAATGGTTGAGTGTGTGGATGAGCGATTGGGTGAGTGAGTGTTATTGTGACCTGCAGTGTGGTGAGTGAGTGAGTGAGCGGGAGAGTGAGTGAGTAATTGAACGAGTGAGCGAGTGTGTGGGTGAGTGGTTGAGTGTGTTGATGAGCGATTGGGCGAGTGAGTGTGTGTTGTTGTGACCTGCGGTGTGGTTAGTGAGTGGGAGAGTGAGTGAGTGGGAGAGTGAATGAGTGAGTGGGAGGGTGAGTGAGCGAGTGTGTGGGTAAGTGGTTGAGTGTGTTGGTGAGTGAGTGGGCGAGTGAGTGTGTGTGTGTGTGACCTGCGGCGTGGCGAGTGAGTGTATGAGTGAGTGGGAGGGTGAATTAGTGAGTGGGAGGGTGAGTGAGTGAGTGGGAGAGCGAGTGTGTGTTGTTGTGACTGCACTGTGGTGAGTGAGTGTATGAGTGGGTGGGAGGGTGAGTGAGTGAGTCGTGAGTGAGTGGGAGAGTGAATGAGTGAGTGAGTGGGAGTGAGTGAGTGGGAGGGCGAGTGAGTGTGTCGATGTGGAAGTGAATCGGACAACGGATGAGACGAAATAACCATTTCTGATTTTGGGGTTGGTGGATCAGAGAGGGATCGACAACGAGATATGATTTCTTACACAAAGGCAGTACAGGAATTGGTTTCTTCTTATTTGTGTGTGTGTATGTATGCACAGGGACGACTTCTTTATGCAATTTGTGTTTTTGTCTTTGCTGTCGCCTCGTGTGTGCGTGGGGCTTTCTCGGGCAATTCGTTTTAAAAAGTGGATTCCCTCCCCCTGCACACACACACACACAACCCAATGCAGCAGGGCTCTGATCGAGAGTTATTGATATTTGGTGATACGATCGCGGATAAATGCGCACATTTACATAATGATGAATATCATTTAGTTGACGTATCTAAAAGCAGCAGCAATGATAATAAAATGTCTTTGCACTACTATGACGAGAAGCATCATTTTTGTTTTGTAGGGCGCTAAACGTGCACGGTATAGACACGGATCGTGTCCCTTCTCGACTTACATTTAATGTCTGTCCGCCTGTCCGTCTCTCTGTCTGCCCGCCTGTCTGTCTGTACGTCCGACAATGCGCTGGTCTATCCGGCTAACTCTCTGTACTTCTGTACGTCTGTCTGTCCCTTCCTTTGTCTCATTCCTGCGCCTCATCATTCGTCTGTCCGTTCCTCCGTACATCCGTCCATCCGTCTGCGTGCGTGCTCGTCTTTCTGTCTGTCTTTCTATCTGTCTGTCTTTCTATCAGTCTGTCTGTCTGTCTTTCTATCTGTCTGTCTGTCTTTCTGTCTCTCTATCCGCTCGTGTCCCTGTCTGTTAGCCCGTCTCCCTGTGCCAACAATTGTCCGTTTCTGGTGTCTGTCTATGGGGTCCATGTTCTCTGTATCTAAATTTCGAAATATGCAAAATGTTTAATAACCATCTCTCGTCTCGACACAAATGCGTACACACGTGGGGGTTACTATCCTATCTTGCTGTGATATCCCGAGGAGCGGTGGCGCAGCGGTTAGCGCCTTCCGCTACCTAATCGGCGATTTGCATACCCACATCGCCTCTTTGGCAGCCCCCCGACCGCACCCACCAGCGTGGTGAAGTATGGCCAAACGACCTTTCGTGACCGACACGGCGCGTGGGGAGGGCCTTCATCCAGCAGTGGATTGACAAAGGGCAGTAAATTATAGATTAATTATACATCGCATTTTACATTTACATGCATCTATGCATCCTCTGCTTTCAGCGAAGCGAGACTAAGAGTCGATTTTTCAAGGGCACATGCATGTACTCATGCGTGTATGCAATCAATCACGCGTGAGTGTATACGCGTATGTGTGTGTGTAGTGTGTACACGTGTGTGTGCGGGGAGCGCTGGCGAAGTGGATAGCGCGCTGCACTAGGAACCCGGTGAGCCGAGTTCGATACCCGCTCAGGGCCACCAGCACCGGCGACGATTATCTGAACCGGTCCTGGGCCTCCACTAGATCTACTCAGCCTCAAATGATGCACAAACATCGCCGCTCGAGAGACAAAGGCGGTCGAGCGTGGTGCCGGCCACCCACCCACTCGTGTGCCGTGCCGGCCTTCAGAGAGGCTCCTCACTAACAACATTTCCCAAAACAGTCTGCTAAGGCTATTCGGGGGATCTTTGTCTTTGCGTGGTGGGGGAGCGGTGGCGCAGTGGTTAGCGGCACACCGCGCTACAAACTCGGCCGGCCACTTCAGTTCGATTCCCAATCTGCAGGGCTGCCGACCCCAGCGAGTGACGGGCCTCCGTCTAGATCGACTCAGCCTTAATTCATCTAAAAACACCGACACTAGGGGATAGAAGCAGCTCCGCGCGACGAGATGGGTCACGACCGCCTGCTCCGTCCGTCTCCAAATCCACGCACGGCGATCTCATCGCCCAATCTCCACGGCGATCGCCTGGCATCTTTTGGGGCTGTCATTTCGTGACCTGCTCCTGTCCGTCAACTCCCGTCCAGCCGTGAGAAGTCTCTGCCCAAGCAGATCGCTCACTCGCTCACTCGCTCGCTCGCTTACGTTTTAACGACCAAGTCAAATCTGACGTCCCCCCGATATGTTGTGCGCGTCCCTGCAGAGCAATTACATTCACGTGAACGGACGTCAATATAAGGGGCGCAACGGTGGAGAGATGTTAACTACCTAGCCCGGTGTGCAGAAGAAGGTCGTGGGTTCGATGCCGACCCTGACGCCTGCTGTACATTTGGGGTTTTGCCTGCGTCTTTCACTCTCTTCGTGGTTCGCGTGGATTTATCTGCGGGTCCTCCGGTTTTTCCCTCCACATTTAGAGTCAACATCACGCGTTCAGAGCATTTGGCTGCTTATACATTTCCACATGATGATGATGATGATAAGCCACTTCGTTGAGCTATAATTTGTGACCAGGTCGTTTCTGAAAAAGAGCTACATAGCTCAGTGGGCCTTACCTGGTAATATAAAAAATATATATTTTTAATTGGCTGGAAAAAAAAGTATATACTGTATAGAGGTCTGCAGAACTTGGGCAATTGTTGGTAGCGTTGGCTCCTCACCGCCCTGGTTGATTTAC